AAGTTTTTTTTTGTCGGATTTTCTGTCGTATCTTGTCTCCGGAGAGCCGTGATGGAAGAAAAATGACCGCGGGCTCTGCAACTTTCCGGCGTTTTGTTTTTCTTTTTTTTTTTCTCCTCCCTGCAAGTTTTCGGCAGAGAACCCACAGACTTCGAAATTGAAGCTTAGGAAAACTTGCCTCCGGAGGAAAATCGAGGGAAATCGAAGGAAACCGCCTTCGAGGATATCTTTAATAATCGAGGAGTCCCCGCCCCCACACTCCTTGCACTGTAACGACGTACAATCAGAGTCATTAGCGGCGGATAATTGAAGTGTCGCGTCCCGTCGACTGTGGGAGGCCCCTCTTCATGCACCGCGGGAGGCCCCTCCTGCCCCACTTCGGATTAATCAGACTTTCCCGTTCCTTCCGGTTGATTGCAGGTGAGGCCGGTGCAACCTTGGATGCACGATGCGCTTCGGGTACGTCGTGTGCCTCGTCGATCGGTAGCGACGAAGTACCAACAGGAAGTCTGCTCTCGGGATCGCGAGGAGGCCATTATCGTGACTGCGAGAAGTGGGTAGCTGGGTCAATATATCGAATGGAGGAATACGGAAACAGACTCGATTCTCTTCCTCCTCTTCCTTCTCCTCCTCCTCCTCCTCCGAGACTCAGAAGGTGAGGGAAGAAGACTCACCGTTATGGATTTTCTCAGGCCTCTCGAGAGCCGGCCGCGAACCATAAACCGATCTTCCTCCGAGCCAGACGGCTCTTCCGTTTCGATGGGATTTCTCTTTTTGTTTTTCTCTCGGTTTCTGCTGCGTGGGCCGCCATTCGCTCTTCTTAATTTGATTGCTACATTCGTTCTAATTAAGATGCGCTGATGCAATTCGGAGGAGCATTAGCGCCTCTCTTCCTCAATCTAATGCACTTTATTTCAAGGAAATACGAGGAGTTTCTGCACAATCATTTAAATTCGCGCGAAGAAGAAAGTCTGCATCTGCGCAGACATTAAGCAAAAATGCGAGAGTAAACATTTTTATTATAATAAAAAGGAAGTTACTTGCAAGTTTAAATAGTGACAACCCTCAAATGAAGTTAGGCTTGAAATTACCAATAATGATTGTAATCGATGTTGAATATGCCTTCTTCTGTTCCATGAAAGGAAAGGAAATCATGCTGCTTTTTCAAGCTCGCGCAAAAAAATATATATATATTGTGCAAAAACCGTCTGTCTTATTTCTTTGAAATAAAGTGAATTAGTACAAGCCATAAGTGGTAGGAGAGGGTGGGGTACCATGGGTCACGGGATACAATGGGTCAGGCTGTTTATAGCGCTCGCAGCTCTGTTTCTCTTCGTGTCGTCTGCCAATTGTCTTCTAGTTGAGATGCCAGGAAAGATCAGTTGGAAAAAAAAAGTCCCCACTCAAACTGCAAACTATGCAGGCGTTTTTCTGTAGAAGACGCGAACGCATGTTGGAGCACAATAGGTCATTCTATCTGACTCAATGCGCCAAATGCTTCTTGATAGCTGTCAATGCAGATCAGGATTTCTTTGTAATGTTTTACCGACTTGATTGTTATCAAGTCAATTAAAATTGCAATTAAAAGCGCAAGACTCTGAGGGGTTTCACACTAGCAGACGTGATATTCTTGGATGTGAAAGGTTCCTAATTTTTCCAGATAACTGTGAGGTGCATCAGTCCTCGAGACCTTCTCTTGTGCGAAAATTCATTTGCGTGATGACTTTGGGTCAACTGAACTTGATTTTAGAGGTGATTACGGGACGGCCCACGGTGCCCCATTTTTAAATACGTCTTTTTCGGTCGAAACTTGCAGGTTGACAACTTTGAAACAGGGGATTGCGAAGGTGATGTGAGCTTTTACACGCAGGGCCTTCTTTATTGCTTCAGAGGAATAAAAATGCGTAAGTTGCAGGCCCACAAAAAAAGTGACCCATGGTGTCCTACCCTTCCCCTAAAAAAATCCTCCAAAGACTGAGAGATGTATTTATTCGCATTCAAATGAAAAATGATGAAAATTTTGGCGCACCCTGTAGAGCAGCGGTTCCCAGACTTCTTTCGCGGCCCAAATGACGACCCGAGAGACGACTCGCATTTTCGACCGCCTCGAAAATCGAAAAACGGTCCCTGCTATCGACATCGAAGACGAAATCGAAAGAACAGATAGGGAACTGGAATCCGTTGAAGAAAGGCACGCAAGCCTTCAGTTCCTTCCACGTGCTACACCTGGACTCCGCCTGTCTCGTCCTGATGCCTTTCAGACCGGATGAGGAATGGCCGATTGCCACGTGAGAAAGGTTTTCGAGCTTTGTGAGAAAGGTTTTCGAGCTTTGTGAGATTCCCCGAACATATCGCCTGATGCCCGCGCATACAGACGAGCAGAAAGTGATGAAAAAAGCTAATCGCATGCATGAAACGAGTACTTCGATACCTCCTCGACTTGTCGTTTGTCATACAGATAGGAAAATTTTTCAAATCCTTCCGATCCGAGACTGCTAAAACGACAAACGACTTTGCGAAATGTTCAAAAATTCATTTTTCTTGCGCGGTTGACCCAAAATCAGAAAGTAGAACGTCTAGCATCCGAATGCCACAAACCAGCTCAGATTTTGGAATCAAGATGGCTCATCTCCACAGATTCCAAAGTAACGAAAGATTTCCTTGCAACGAAAGATTCGGGTTATCGGGAAACCGGAGAAATGACGGCGAAAGTAATGGTGAGACTGGGAAAACAGCACCGGTGTGTAATCATGCCATGAAAAAGAAATAAGGGAATTCCTTCCCGTGAAGAATGAGGAACCCGTTAGAGACTGATTAGAATGATCGATGTCGAAACTCGTCCATCGTACTTCATTTACGCCTGAATAACCTAGCGATAAATATTCAAGGGGCGTCGAGCGGAAAATGGCAAAAATAAGGGGGGGAAATTTTTCGAGAAGATCGAACGCAAATTAGGTAAAAGAGGGAAAAAATTGACAAGAAAAGTAGGGGAAAAAATGAATAAATTACTAGATCTTTCCCTCCAGCCGTATTACCATGTTTTTTTTTTCAACGAAAACTGATCCGATTTCGAAATGGATCTCTATCGGGGTTAATATAATGTCTTTAGGCACGTTTTATGTAATCGTATTAGTTTAAAAACATGAAATGGATGTCAGAAAATCTTATCAGTGTTTTTCATATCCGGCATTGCTGAAAGGCCAGAACATTCCTACATGCCAGCAAGAAACTAGATCGCTGATTTCCGTTCGAGAACATTTGAAAGATAGATGAAGAAAGCAAGTCGAAAGGAAAGAGGAAGGCTAGGCCTAAATATCTGCTCGAGGTCGATGCTCCCAAGGATGATAGATATGGTCTCCAACTTTCTCTATTTTTAGGCTGTGTTGCGATGGGCGTGTTGTTCTTTCATTCGCCATCTCGGTTTGCCGTGCACCAATCCGAGAATGAAAGGACTCGGGCACTCTTGGAAGGCGTGATAACCCCTTTCCACGGTGTCTTCGATTTCACGGTAGAAGCACTCTTGGGCTTGGGGGAACTCGGGAAAAGAGGCTCGAGACGAAGATGGTGACGGACAGAGGGAATGGAACGGGATTGGGGTCCCTGGTCAACTTCCTTGCTGGTTTTCGCGAGAAGTTCTCCCGTCGAAATGCGGTCCTGCTGCGAACGACATTCTACGCTGGAGATCCGAAGTTCATTCGAGTATCACATACCAAATGTGATACAAACGGGAAAATGCCAAAAGCGGTGGGCCACTAGCAAATCTCATTGGAGATCAGTTTTCTCAAGGAAATCGCATGCATCTTAATGACCCCAGCACAGCGCCAAAAAATAATAATAATAAAGCAGAATTACTCCTGACCCACATGTGCAATGGGTGTAAGTATCCCATCTCCACGGCAGGAAAGTGGAAAAAAGAGATCGAGGATGCCCACGGAAGAGTTTTCAAGCGGAGGAAGAGGTAGCGCAGATGTCCGTGTGTCACGCCTCCATTCCCCGTCCCTCGAAGCTATCATTATTATTAAATTACTCATGACCTCATCTTGCCTTTTCGTAGAGGCAATAAAGGCGTCTATTGAATAATTGAAGAAGAACGGTGCAATCCCGAAAAGTCTCATTTTTGTAATGGCCACCCCAATAGCATGGGGGGTGTTAATGTACTTGACTAAAAACAAAATTACCATGTGCCTCGTGGTCACGGCGCATCTGTTCGTCGTTTATCTTTTGTCTAATCGGAATAATCGTCCCTTCATTCCCAATCCTACAGTGGGTAGAAGGAAAGGATTCGAGCGCTTCTAATAATTCCTTTCCACGACATACCAATATATCAAATTTCCGAATTCAAAAGTATTTAGGAATAAATATTTTCGGCTTTTACTCCTGCTAAGCCTGGTAAGGTCACTTCGCCGCCACGGTCAATGCAGGTTGCCGGGATGAATTATTGCTGAATGGCTGAATATTGCTGAATTGCTGAATTGCTGAAGTCAGCCCAGGACCAAAATCCTTTCTGCATGCCGTATTTAATGCCATAGGCAAGGAACTCGCTGTAGTGATCATTGCCAACACTCGTCACTCAAATGGCTGAACTCTGCTGTATGGTCGTACGCACGACACAACCACGTTCAAAACCATTTTCTTTTCTTGACATTTATAGCTCTGTTTAGTATGACTATGTCGCAGAACGTAAATACCATAGATTATTCTGGCTGACTGTACTGATGCAGAATAAAGACAAGCAAAGAGAGAGGTTTTTGAACGGGGATGCGTAGCAAAACGAGTTTCATATACACTGGGACTGCCATCTATGGAAAGCCGGCGGAACTGATTGTAATGATCGCCAGTCGGACATGTTCCCTCTTCCAGTGATCACGAGGCATGGCCCTTCAAGATGTTTCGCCGTCTCCCCGGTCTTCCTTACTCTCATCGTAGGCACACGTTGCACTTAAACATTCCTCATGGACAGAAGCACCGATATAGGCCTAGCGCTCTGTAGGTCTATGATTATGAGGGTTCGTTTCTGCATCTTGGCCTCATGCCTGTGAGAGGCCTAGGGTTTGATGACAACATGGTATTTTTTCCGTCCAACCTTCGAGTTCCGAGATCACATCGAAATCGTCATCACAGTCAATATAAACAAAGACGCGGGGCACACGTATTCGCGCAAGCAGTGAAGAATAAGCAAACATTTTCAAATGCCTTGTAAAAAATTGTAGAATATTCCAGCTGCTGTTAGGTTAGAACTTGAAAGGGAGAAGAGGTGCTGGATGAAATAGAATATGGCTCCCTGGGGCGACAAATGTCTCTAGAAGAAGCACCAGAAACTGTTGATAAATAAATTCAGGGATGGAGTGTAGGTTTTTAAAAAAAAATATTTTATCTACAAAGACCCTCAAAAGAATGGATACATTCATTCTGGGATGGCGATGTGGAATTTTTATTTTATAGCTCTTATGAAGAGCTGTATGTTTACCTATTTTTAAACCCAAGGAGAAGGCACCAGATTGGTTGAATGAGTGGAAAATGATAGATGAGGGATATGTAAGAGTAGAACATGGCTATGAGTGTTTAAACGTTGGCCCTATTGCTTTGCAAGAGGTTAGGTAGTGAATAGTTGCAAGTACTACACTGTTGGGCTTGGGCTAAAAGATCAATGATGCCTGGGAGATAGGCTGGAGTAGGTGACAGTTTGAGGCATGTGTAGAGACAATGTTGGTTATTCCTTCTCTCTGGAGATTGTATACTATGGAAGACTTCCTGAATGGACTACTGGCAGATTGGTGCAAGAGATATGTCATATGAAAGTACTATGTAAGTAGGTTGTAGTGGTATGAGTTTTAGTTGAGAGAGTTCAGGTGTGTGTGTAGTATTAATATACCATTATTTTTGTTAAGCTCTGTTGGCAACTCAGTGCAGCCATGTTACACTCCTTGCCCGAGCCCAGTGTCTGCTGGCATTAGTTGCTATGTCACACAGTAGTGCCACAGCCTTTGTGTGCTTCCTAGGCATGCACACTGTACTGTATTTTCCTTCCTTCCTGCCTGCTATTTTTCAGTATTCAAATGTGACTCCTCATTGCACTGGCACAGTTTATGGCATCTAATTTTTTCCCATTCCTTCATTGCCAAAGGCCAGAGCAAGAGAGCAAATTACTTTTGGGAATGATGGATCAATTGGGGTTAAAAAATGGTTATGCCCTTTGACAGTGACTTTTTTCTAACCCAACTGACCCATCATTCCCTAAAGTAGGTGGGCTTTCTCTCTCCTTTGGCCCAAACATCCAAGGAATGAAACTCACATAGCCTGTGCTTAATTGTTTTTTTTCTGAGGTTTGCTAGTTTTTGTTCAATGCAAACCCAAAAGAGCTGATGAAATGTTAGCCTGAGTCTCAAGCCCCCCAAGTTCCTGTTCTGCTGAAAATCAGCACCCTTGGGCTCTGTTCAACATGGTTGACCCTGTCTCTCATATTCTCCATAGGGAATATGTGAGTGCACCATGCATGCCCCTCCATGCCTACCTGGCCAACAGGCATCACTTCCTAATGTTAAAATTACAACCTTGTTTTTTAACTTCCTCAGCTAAAATCCACATCAATCCAGTCTAGTCATCAAGAGTTTGCTATTGATATATCATATGCCATTCTGTTGGTGGTCCACTTTTGAAGTCTTTCTGTTTATGGGTCCATTTCTACCTTGTTTTGGAAAGGTTTTCAAATTTGCTATATATTCCATTTATCAGACCACAGAGTGCTTGGGATTTGTACTGTATGCACACTGTTTATATTCAGTGACTGTGAAGGATACCTTGACTCCCTTATGTCATTCTGCAGCATATAATGATAATAATAATAATAGTGGTTTATACATGATTCTGGAATAAGTGTGCACCAGCAAATTGCATTCCATCGTCAAAGGGTAGACATAGAAAGGGTAACAAAATTATGAGGTTTGTACTGAGCCAGTGTGGCGGTCTTCTGTGGTAGTTTTTTGGTTTATCAAGCGGGTCATGAAGGGGATTGCTGACGGGTTGAATCTGCATGTGTGACACTTATGCTCTTACAAGTGGGATGAGATGTTTCTCCTCAGGTTCCTGGGTGGGCATTGACAGTAGGGAGGCAAAGCCTGCCATCACAATGGACTTTTTAGGAGGGCATGGGCATATTTAGGTGTTAGATCCAGTCATCTTTTCTGTAAGGATGGGATGCCCAGAGTCGACAAGGCATTTCATAAGTTTCATATTTATGCCCAAGGATTAATCATAGGGCATGCTTCTGCTCCTGTTTGATGGCAAATATGGCTCGACCGGGCAGGGAGCTGTTCCAGGAAGGGCAGGCATACTCAAGAACTGGCCAGATATAAGAGGACCAGGAGGTCCTCTTATATCTGGCCAGGAAGATAGGAGGTCCTCCTGAGGTGTGCCAAAAGATTTCATTATCTTTAGCATGTACATTCATCAGGAGGACTTTGGAAATGATTGATTTAGTGTTTAGATATTATTTCTTGTGCTGTGTCAGAAGTGAAAGGTTGGGAGCTGCATTTTTTAATTGGAGAAACATATTACTGGTACTGAATTATTACTGATACTGGAGGTCTTTATGTTGAGTGACCAATTATATGGCCTTCCCATAAAAGGTATGGTGAGGAGAAAAAGAACTTGAGCATAATGGAGTTTACTCATCAGCTTACCAACTAATTATCAACCAAGATGTTAGTAGTTGGTCCCATTCATGAACGTTCAAGTAGATTTCTATGATATGGGGAGCAATGATCACTTTAAAGATGTGGTTGGAAATTGAAATTTATGCATATGTAAAGGTCTAGATTGATAATCATAGCCATCAGTAGGTAAGACTTCAGTCCTCGAGTGGGATTAGAGGAAGGTACCGTCAATCAGTGATAAGGAGAGGCTAAACACTTATGTAGAGTCACTTGATGAAAGCAATGTTACTTCTGGCAAGAGAATATAATTCCAAGTGATATGTGTCAACTCTAGAACACTATATCCAGGGTCCACCAGACCCCAAACACCATAACATTTGGCAACAAATCACAAATGGGTGGTAGTTGCAAGCACACTATTTGACAGCAACAAACAAGAAATGTTTGTTCTTGAGTGAATATCAGGTGTAATTTGCTTTTATTCAAAAACATGATGTTGAGATGCTTTCTATATTTTATCAAAGCAGGAAGCCAAATGGTTGTTGGCCATACAGTTTAAACATGTGTTGAGTTAGGTAGAGGGACAGGAAAAATCCAGTCCATGAAAAGTCAAACTGAATATTTCAATTTTCAAATGGCCTTTTGGGCATTTTTTTCCAATTACTATTTAGACAACTTATATTGATTCTAACTCTCTGTTTACTTTCAGACGTCCATCATTGAGAAAGACCTGTCACTGGCCAAAAGCTTTTATATGTGGATCCAATCAAAATTACCAGTGACAGGCAAGCAAGGCTTTATGACCTTACTATGACATTACATGCATCTTTATGATTTTAACTCAGTAGAGTTGCATTAGAAATTGAATGGCCCTGGGAAAGAGGTCTTTATCTTTTGATCTGAGTGAAACCTATGACATTGGTATTTTCTCCTAAGTCATCCCTTGAAGACTCCCCATTTTGAACATGGATATAATATTTTATACCCTCACAACACCAAACAACAGAATGGAAAGACAGTACAGCCTCATGAGCATTTGATGGATCATGTTTGCAGAAGTGGAAGTATTTGGCAAATATTTGTGAAATTCTCAGCAGTAAAAGAAAAGTAAGTAGGCTGTTTATCCATTCAATCACTATTTTTCTGATTCTCCTGCAGTATTTGTAGGTAGTTTTTGAATTTCATTTACAGGTAAGGATGCGTGTTCAAGAATTACAGAAGTACATTGAAACCCATTGTCCTGGAGCATGTGTTCCTGTGGATCTCCTCAAGATAGCGAGAAGCATCTCCAGGCCAATGAAAGGCAATCGAACCCAACCACCCATGATGCAACATTACAACCATTTCTATTTGGTCCTTGATGGGGAATGCTGCCTGGATCGTCTTTATGGTGGATTCTTCTCAGGTTAGTGTTGGTCTAATAAAAGTTTATGGGGACTTATTACCTGTCTCTCAAGTATTTCATATTTATTTTAAACTGTTGGTTGTATTTAATATTTTTTCATTCTAGACTGGGTATGTGGTGGGCAGTGGAATCGCATGGTGCAGTTCCTGGCTGTTCTCATTCAGACAGTCCATACCAACTCTGTTGAGATGGCTGTCTTCTTCAATGGTTCCCTGGAGCAGCCCCGCATCTCAGAGTGGATCAAACTCCAGCTTGATACCAGAAAAAAGATCAATTCGGTTGGTGTTTGCTGACAGTCAAAGGACTTGGTGCAACCTAGTACAGTTGAAGACCATGGGTACACCCTGGGGTAATAACTCTATCTATGTAAAACATGGCTTCATTTCAAGGACTATGTTGCACCAAGCCTTACCCTTAGATATGCTTAGGATCCAATGCATATGAGCAAGACACAACTCAAGTAGCATTCCATTCATTCATTATTAATATTTGCAGGTGCTGAGACACCTGAACAACAAGGCTACCCCACCACCCAAGGTGTGGTGGGTCCCACCAGTTTGCCTGCGAACATGCATGCGCATGGCCCTGAGACATCTCAATATTGCTGTCATGTCTACCATGGAAGATCATCATCAGGAAGTTATTGCCTTTTGCCGTGAGAACAACTTCCATGGCTTGGTTGGGGAAGATGTGGAGTATGCCATTTTTTGCCCACCTCGATATTTTTCTGCTCAGCTGCTCAAGCTCACTTACAAGGTGAGAGGTTGTATAAAATGGGGAGTTGATGTATCAGCATTTATCCTGGAAAGAATGTTGACTTTCATTATGTTGTTGCTTTTCTGCCTCCAGGGCTCTCTGGAAACCAAAGAATACATCATGGATGAGTTGTGTAAAAAGATTAATATTCACCCTGATCGACTGGTGGTCTTGGCTGCCCTGCTTGGTAATTACTGCCTTACTGAAGATGATCTCAGCCAGTTTCACAAGCGCCTGTGTCCCAACTATGACAACCCCCATAAGGTTTGCCCTCCTTTTCTCAAGGATGACATGTAGCAGTTATGTTTTCCAGGTGATGATCCCACAAAACAATATGTTAGATCTGTGAACCTTCATTCTCAATCACAGATACCATTTGAGGAGCTGATTGAAGCAGTGGCAGAGTATGTGCGTAACAGTCCAAGTGTGGAGAATCTGAATCATGTGGGCATTGAGATTTTTGGGGCTCCGGATGACAAACGCATCCTCAAGCTGAAAGATGCTGTGCAATATTATGTGAATGGGACCAAAGATGGATTCTTGCGGTATTGGACTACTAGCTTTGGTCAGCAACCATATTCAAATCACTTCTTTTGTGAGACTGTTGAGTGCACCCTTGCAAACAAGTTTTTCCTGTAGGTCGAGTTCCATCATCTCACTACACATCTGGGCATGCTGGTCAACCCAAAGGGAAAATGGGTGCTGGAGACCATGCTCCTACTCTCAAGTTTGCCTCTGAACTTGCAGATGGCGAGGTTTGTATGCTAACCTGGTGGAGCTCATTTCTTATCAATTTTCAATCATGGAAATGGACTTATAAAAGTTTTAACTTTTGCAGCAAGGGAGTTTTGGTGCATATCAGCATGCTTCTGGGGGCAGAGGAGTTAAAGGAGACATTGTTAAATCACCTGACATTCATGTACTAGCAACAGAGTTGCAGCAAAAATTGCAGCTTGGACAGGGTGATGTATCTCAAGGTGAGTGTGTGTTTGGGTTCTTTCCAAAATGTCTAACTGAAAATAGTTCAGTTCTGTTTGTGCTTGTTGTACCTTCATCAATATTATTATAGCATATTTAAAAAAGGAGCAATTAGAGGAATACCATTAGTCATTTCTTCACATCAGACATTGGTACTTAACGAGGTGTGGCACTTTATCATGTGATCATGGCCAATGGTCTGATAGCTTGTTAGATACTTGATATTTGATAGGAGCTAGGTGTGTGAACCTAATTGTCAGCATATGTCATCCCAAGTTGGCTTATTTGAGAAGGTGTACTCAGTATATGAGTGATGTACTGTTCATGTTGCATTTGTTTATAATTTTGAAATGAAAAAGATGTGGGTTGGGAATCACTTTAAACTGTTTTCAAATTCTTCAAATGCAACTTTTTGAATGATCAGTTCTATAATTACAACAGACAGCAAGTATTGTAGCACCAAAGTTTCTAAATTCAAATCATAATTTGAAGGACTTTCTTCTTCAAGAAGATTCATCCTGTGCTGAATCTTCAGGTTAATTTAAGAAAGGAAAGGATTTCTTTCTTGATGTGGTTTGCTTTACTCAATCTCCAAAAAAATAGCTCATTTTTCCTGCAGCACCTGATTTTCTATAGGTCCATGTTGTGGTATGCTCCTCTTGACACTACCTTTTTGGATAATATTTAGCCTTGTCAATTGGTGCAGGGTGAAATGAAACCTGTGCAAGTGGAGTTGGTGCATTAATAAAAACTTATTTTAAAAAATTTATTTATACCACACTGGTTCCCTAGATACCTATTTTTGACATTTGAAAGCCTGGAAAATGATATATTCTGTGGTTGAAGGGGATTAGTCATGCAATGCTCTACTCCAAGGTAGACAAAACCTTTTTCATTTCTTTTCAGTTGATGCACTGAATGGAGCCTTGATAAGCTCATCCTCTTCAACATCCACTTCCCCACGCACAACCCCAGATATTCCTCAGTCTACTCCACCTCCTCCAACTACTCTCCCTTCTTCTGTTATTAAGTCAGGTGCAGAGGGTGAGTTAAAGAACATGGCTATTAGTTCACACTTTCTTTTGCAGTGAGTAAGTTGTGTATTAATTTTCTGATGTTACATAGATGTGGGGGAGAAGACAGTGCCAACAGATCCCTTGGGCTTCCCCTTGGCTTCAACTCCAAAAGTTTCCCCCGAAGTCATGCGAACTGCCAGTGAGAGACATCAAAAGGGCCTCATGTCACCATGGATTTACCAAATTCTAACCCAGGTAGATTATTTTATGATTTTTCTGCTCAGGTTGAGGTAGTTCTGATGAAAGATGTTTTAATTCTGCTTAATTCCCTTTTGAAAGGGTGAGTTGAAGATTCCAGTGATGGTTGAAGATGAGAACCATAGGGAAGTGCCAAATATTGCTCTCCTGTACCGTCCTGTTCGGCAAATGGTCTATGGCATTATCTTCAATCTTCATCACCATGAGTTTATGTCCAAGAAGGCCCAAGAAGATGGTGAGATTCTTTGTGCTGTGATTTTTCATTGCTGAAGTGTCTATTTTGGACCTGGATATAAAGCAATGACTATGTGTGTAATAGGCTCTGAGTATCAAATCCCTGACATCAAAATCCGAGAATGGGTGTGGAGTCGAGCAAATCCTTACCGGCAGCCAGATCTGGTTGAACCTGTAAAAGTTGGTTGGAAGGTCCCAACTGTACAGAGATTGTGGTTTGGGTGAGGCTCTTGTTATATAGCTTTTTCTGGTCTGTTTTTCACTTCTTTTAACAATAATTCATTGGAAAAACTTCTATTGGCAGAGGTGCCCTGGATGATAAGAAACGTCGCCTGAGAGCATTCCTGTCATGCATGAGGTCTGATCGAACAATCATGCTCAATACCAGCTACGTTCCTCAGCATCTCCTTGTTCTCGCCTGTGTTCTCAGGTTTTTTTTTGTTGTTCCTTTTGTATTTTCTTTTCCCAAGGTAGATGGAGCTAAACAGGAAATTTAAAAAATGTTTTCTGGTTCATTTACATCTAGGTACATCATGTCAACATCAGAGCGAGCTATTTTAAGAAAGCAGGAATTGGATGCCTTCATTGCCCAAGCCTTTTCACCTCAGCTCACAGATGCCCACTATCTTCAGGACCTAGAGGTGAGTTCAGCATGATGTACAATGATTCACTGCCATAGCAGTGAAATATGTTACCAATAGTTTTATTTAAATACTTTCCTGCTTGATGACAGTTACCTGTGGTGACAAGTCGGGGAGTGCAGCTGGCCTCCATGTTCATGATGGGAGTGGAATCTGCCTTGTTTGCCAATGATGCCTGTGGTGCTCCCATTCCATGGCTTATGTGTTGTCCTTGGCTCTTCTTTGATGGGAAACTGTTCCATCAAAAACTGGTCAAAGGTCAGCAAAGGATACATCTGCTGTTGTAATTGAATTGACTTACAGATGTCAGTGACTTATAACAGAAGGAAATTTTTTTATATGACAGCTAGTACAGCAAAGAATCTGATGGAAGTGTGTGAGGGTCAGTTGGAAATGGTTGCCAAAGTAGATCGTTTGAGGCATGCTGTCTTGGATGGACTTCAGATTGATTTTGCGCCACGCCTACCTGTGTTCCATCCTCCACCCTTCCCCCATGGTAAATGCCATGATTTTCATGTTTGTCTCCATTCTTACATTTTGCAGTGATAAGACAAAAAGCTATTCAATTTAAGGTGGGGCACCACACCCTCCAGACATGTATATGGGTGGCATGCGAGGCAACATGATCCCTGCAGGAGCAGCTCTTTCTGCTCGAGGACGAATTCGAACCATGCTTGGTCGTCGAGCCCTTCCTGCACGAGGGGGTCAGCTTGAGATTGCAGGAGTAGTTGTTGGCCAGTGGGGCCCTAATTACCCAGGCGGGGGTGGAGGACGTGGCCGTGGCAACATGTACATGGAGCCACAGGTACCGGTAAATGTTGACAGCCTCTCTCCTTGCATGGGCCTCAGAGAGCACTCTTCCTTCTCTCTTTGAACTAATAAAATGCAGAACATAGAATGTTACATGATGAGTTCTGATTATGTCAGGTGATGGCAGTTGGAGGCATGAGGAACATACGGGGGAATTATGGTTTCTACCGTCGTCGAGGGATGGTTCCCTTTGGAAAGAGGTTCACCCCAGGTACTGTTACCAAGAAGCCCAACCCAGTTCGCAAAACAAAGGCCAGTGGAGGGAAGAAAGATGGAGCCAATGCCAGCTCTTCAGATTCCAATGATGCCAAGGAGGAATCCAGTTCCCCAGTGAAGATAGAAAATGGCAGTAAGGGAAGGGGTATCACACTGGAAACTCAAGGCAGCAGGTAGGATCCAGATCACCATCATTGTTGGGAGTAAGAGAATTTGTGCTGATCATGATTTTCTTTTTGTAGCAAGAGTATTCCACTGTCAGAAGTCCTCAGTGCTGGCGGAGGGAGCAAGGAAAAGTCAAGCGAACCCTCAGCCCAGTTTGAAGACGCTCTGCCATCTCATTCGGTGCTCAATGGCCATGTGGATGATGCTGGCCCCTCCTCAGATCTCAAGATTAGCTCCTCATTTAATTAAAGAAAAGAACCTTCCCCCCCCCCCTCACCCTTGCTTAGTAATATCTTTCTGTCCTGTCCTTCATTTCTCTCTAGTTTCCTCTCAAGGTAGCTCATCTCTCCTACACTTGAATGGACACCTCCCACAATGTGAAACAAGCCATGTGCCCTGAATCCCTGCCGTGCTTCTCTTGGTGAACCACAAACTTGTCTGATCTTGTGATAGGAATGAATAAGTGTTGAGTGGATGTGTGGGTGAATGTGTGGTGTTTCTCATTTGTTTGGAATGAGTGTAATTGTGGCTTGCCTTGGGACCTCTGCTCGGCAGAGTGTAATGAGGCGAGCAGTTTAGTAGAAGAAAAACAAACTGCCGGGCATCCCGACGTGGAATCCAACTGTGAACCCACACTCTCGAGCCTGTGAAACGGAAGCGTGATATATTTTTCTATGCTTGTTATTTTGTTACGAGAAAGTTTATCATTCACTGTGCTGCATGTTTGGGCATAGGCGAGGAGATGGTGGACATTAGCTGGTCTTTCTCTTCTCTTGTTCTCACTCAGTCTTCTGTCACAAGTAATGCCAATCTGATTCGGCTTTGCTTGCGAAATGTCCCACCTTCATTTGGGATTTATTTGACAGTTTCTCATCTGGGTTCCCTCTGAGAAGAGGAAGAAAGGAATTGGGGTTTAGTCACAAGTGTTGTACCATGAAGAAATTGATTCCGCTTCGGGGCAAAGGAACGAAGCAAATCAGATGAATTGCCTGACTGAAATGGGCATTATTTGCAAAGATCCTAGGCTGTCAGTCTGACGCATGCAGACGAAAAAATGTATCATTTTTGGGTGTGTTCCCAACTGTTGGGTTTCACTCACTTTGCAAAAGCAGTATATACTGACTAGCATCATGCCTTGTTGCATGACTTTCATGAGACTTGCACATCTTTGTGCTTTCAGGCAATTGTGGACCACGACTTCTCTGATGGCAGTCGGAGTTTATTCTCTCTCCTCTTCGAGTTCCCCCCTCCCCCTTCCTGTCCCTCCCACCCTCCTTTTAGAGTCATGCAAATTGATGGCTGGCAAGGGGCACCTGTAATTCCTCCAGCAACTTGGAGGATTCCATTCATCCATCTATTACCTGTATCTTGGTATTCATGTTACTACATTAGGTTTAAGGCATTTTTGGGGAGAGAAATACTTTTTTTTTGCATTGAAAATCCCTTGCCTGACTGAGGCAGTGTTTTTGGAATGATTCATCAATATGTTCTCAAAGGAGTTCTAGCGTTTCAAAAAATTTTTGTTTTCCCTTTTTGCTTTTCTGTTCATGTTTATCCATACACAAAACAATAGGTTTAGCATTGGAGACGTGTGTTTGTCAGCCATTTTCAAGCCCTTATGGTGTGAGGTGGGCTTTGCTTCTGCACGCAAATCATATTTGGTGTAAATATAATGGAAGAAATGCCAGGTTTCCCTCTTGAGCATTGTGTCAACTTCACAGAGATAAATTGAGGTAGAACCTGAAGTAATGGGATGGAAACACTTCTTCAACTCCTTGCATTGTATCAGAGTGTTTCCCATTTAGGCACTTTAAGGGTAATTTTATCACCACTTCATTGTTGTAAGTTGTAGCTAGGGATCATCTCTGAGAGGTAGATGTTTTCTCCAATTTCCATGTAGTCTCTGATTTTGGCAAGAATTACCATCCTTTTTTGGTTTTTGTTCCCTATTCATTGCTTCTTTTAGGTTAAGTGTACAGTAAATGTGCAAAAATTTGTTGTCTTCTGTTCATCGCCCCGAAGATTCATATGTTCCATTTCGCATGATCAAATGGATACAGAAATATCTCCGTTGGAAGTGTTTTTTTTTTTTGGCCATATAGCATCCAGGTGTTTGGAGTTTTTTGGTATCATTCATCCTGGGATTGTAACCACTAACATTTACTCCTGTATTTGAGTGTGAACTGAAAGTGACCAGTATCAGTTTTTTTTTTTTTCTTCTTTTGCTTGAGGAATCAGAGTGAAGGAAGATCATGGCTGTAATGTACTTGTAGTATGAATAATCCTGCTGGAAACATGATTTTTCTCTCAATGTACCACTCTTTAGCTATATGTAGAGGGCCCCTACCCTTTATCGATGAAGTGTCATGTCGTCTTTGACCTGTCCTCTAGCTCTCTATCTTTATAAAAAATTTGGATTCTTCTAGTTTGTTTCTCCACCATCATGCTGTGGAACGTTGCTGCAAATGCTGGTCCTCGGAACGCCCCGATCCGAAGGCACCTAACTACTCTTTCAGTGTGTTCTAGTTCTTTTGATTGATCCTTAGTCATAACAGTGGATGTAACTTGGTTTCTATGGATGGTAAGCAGCTCGTTTTCCCTCTCTTCCTCTGTGGATGGATACTCGCCTGAATTGTGATGGATTGAGTAAGGAATGAAGAAGCAAACTGTGCATGCCTATGTCTTGGCTGGAGGTCGGATTTGGTCTGATTTTCATTTTGGCGAGGAACAGTCGGAATAAAGTTTGGCATTGTGGTGCAGTTTGCTTCATTTTCTGTTAAGTATTGCACTTGAACTTAGCATAGTGCAATGATTCTCAAACCTCCTTTCACTCAATTTAAACCTCATCCAGCATCCAGTGGTATGTGTACCACAGTTTGGGAACTACCGGCACAGAGCATTATATATGCAAGTAATATGGAGTGTATGTCAACTCTTTTCACACTTTTTTGGTCTTCATTTAGTTTTGAAATGTGTAAAAAAAAAAAATCCCCCATCTCTGAAGGCAGAGGTTGGCTGGAATCACTGCCATCCTGGGGAAGTGATGCTTACTAGTACATTTTATATCTCCTTCCAGTGCTGCAGTATGGTGTACCTCCTTTCGGAATGGAAAGTGCAATAGCAGTGTCCTAGCTAGGCCTTTATAACTAGGTGGACTACTTAGTTTTCAATTCAGGATTTTCCCTGCCACCCATTCCCCATTCACCATTTCAGTTCACCAATAAGAAAGAAGCTACTGCTTGTCAAATCCAGGGTCTTTCTCCCATGGCATTTCCTGTCATTGGAAACTGGCTTTTAGCTGCTGAGACAATCTCACTCTTATTCTGCTGTGCTGTAACATTGGCTAGTGTGCTGCTTTTGCATATTTGGCATGTTTATAGCCCTGCACAGAAGTAGTCTATGTAGTGGCAGGCACAGAAAATATATTGCAAAAATGCAAAAACCAACCTTTATAATCTCACCTGAAAAACCACCTCTGCATTGTTTCACATCCTTCTCTCCCTCTCACCAATGGAAATTTATAGTCCTTAATTTTGTACTTTCTCTTAAACTTGTATTCAATCAGAGGGCATGATTGTCAAGTGCATGGTCCTTTTCCTGAAGGTAAGGTTGGTGTGATTGCTCTTCCCATTGTTTTTGCATATTACAGGGAGTTTTACATTGATGTCCTTTAATGGTCTTCCTCTCCAGTATTCAGTCTGTCTGCAGAAACTAATGCAATGTGCTTGTTTGTTCTTTGAATCCAAAAGTTTTTTTTGGAGGGCTGTGACTCATGTCTCTGACAATATCTAGAAGAAATTGTATTCAAATATTCTTTTTTGTCTTGATTGGATTGAAAAAATGTTGAGATTGGAGTAGGCTGGCGGTATGGGGGTGTTAGTGCATGTGCACATGCCCATTAATCAGTAAGCATCCATGTACATCAAGGTGGGTTACCAATTTTCCATATGTCAACCCCCCATTTAGATTTTCTGGGCACGCTATTGACTACTATGAGTCCACCAGTTTTGGAAATTTTCTGGCTATAGGGTAATTGTGGGAATTCATGACACTTTCAACTCATATGCTCCATCTTGGGAGTCAGGACAGCAGGCAAGGCATGAGACATTGCAGGAGACATTGACCAAGGATTGAATTACTAAGCTGATGCACCACTAGGTGAGAAAATCATTCTTTTTTTTTTTCCATCTATCAAGGCAAGCATTAGAGAAGATGGCCTTGAGGACATTGCAGAACAATGCCATGAGCTTCACTGAGAATCAGCATGGCAACGTGATTCTTGAGAAGTTGCGGCAGCAGCGGGAGGAAGAGAAATTCTGTGATGTGATCCTGCTTGTGCAAGACAGGGAGTTCCCAGCTCATCGCAATGTCCTCAGTGCATGTTCTGCATACTTTGAATCAGTGCTGAAGGTTAATCGCATTGTGAAGGAGCAGATGCGAATTACGTGTCTCAAGAGCAACAACCATGAAGTGTTCACATGTCTTCTAAATTATATGTACACTGGGAGTGTTGTGATTGATAAGGATAATGTGGCTGAGCTCCTACGTCTTGCAAATCACTTCCTCATATCCAAGGTCAAAAATTATTGTGCTGAATATTTGGACAGGTTAGTGCCTCCTTATGTGTCACTTTTTGAAAATGAAAATGTCTTTGACATAAAATTGGTGGTGTTTGAAGTACCATATGAGACAAACTGCCAGGAAGATAATTTGGTTTTTTATCATTGCTCCCTTCTATTTATCAATCAATTTCACTTACTACTGCTACAGATGAAGCTTTCTCATTATCATCTTACCTCTTCCATAGGTATTTGAACATAAGCAATTGTCTTGGTGTGAAAGAGCTGGCTGACAAGTACCAAATGCCAGCTTTGTCTCGGACAGCTAACGCTTTCATGGTGACACATTTTGATCAGATTCTCACCCAGGAAGAGATACCCAACTTGAATCTATCTCAGCTGGAAAGGCTGATAACAGATGAGGTGCTTGATTCTTCTATCTTATACCTTGATGCCTTTTCTGATTAATTCCTGAGTACCTTTTTCATTTGAAATAGGCAGTGCATTTGTCAACAGAGGAGCAACTCCGTCTGATGAGTCACTGGGTTGGACATGATCCCTTGAATCGGGAAAGGGAAATGGGAACGTTACTGACATATGTAGACTGGCGAAAAGTGGATCCCTCGTGGATAACTCGTTACATTGAAGAAGAGCGGCTCTTTCAGGATAGCCAGAGGGCTCTATACTTCCTCTTGCAGAGTCTTATGCATTCCAATCTTCCCATTGCAGCTCGTCTTCAGAAGATCTTCCTCTCCCTCTATTCCAAAGACTCCACTGTTAGTAGATGTTTCTTCCTTTTTATGTCACCTTTATATATCCCTCTTATTATATATATCCACCTTAGTGCAATGTCTGTGTCATCTTTGGTTGCAATTTGACCAGCTATCTTATCTTCCTATATTTTTTCAGGAAGACCGGTATGAGAATTTCCTCAACCTGGCTGTCAGCTCAGCAATTGGAGATTTTCAAGAACCTGATCACAGTGCCACGCATAAGGCTAGTTTACTGTCTACCTTCTGATAGTAAATTTTTTATCCATCTCTTGCTCCATTCATCAATTTCCTATTTGTATTATGTTTAGGAAGAGGTGTCCCTGGAGGACATAGAGCTGTACAACTGTAGTGGTGTAGATGGTGGGGATGAGAGGCAACCCAATCTTCATGTCCTTCATGCCCCTTTACCAGAAGACTTTGATGCTCCTGTGAACCTGAAGACAGGTCTGCAGCTCCTTCTCCCCTTTATTCCCTTAAGGTTTGATCTCAATTACCATTTCTGTTTGCTATAGAGAGTCTGCTGAAAGAGCAGAAATATAAACTAGGGAAAGTCCGCATGGCAACGACATCCCCATCTTCGAGTGAAATTAATTACCCCATATCAAAGGAAGATCGCCGTGATGAGAATGGGCACTATGACCATTCTCACGTGTGGGTGGCACCACACCAAGGCATAGAGACTGCAAAAAATTCTGAACAAGTCCATGATACTCCCCAAGAGGACTTCTATCCACCCTATCAGAATAACCACTATAATAATATCACTCCACCAGGTGAGCCCATTATTCCACATTTCTTCAATTTATTATTGTCTTTCTTGGAGCTTTTGAATTTGAGCCTTGGTACTTCTTAAAGAATGTGAGGAGTTGACTGTACCTCAGCGTCCTCCAGTGAGGAAGTCTCAAATAAAAGAAAGAAGCAAGAAAAGCAGTTATGCCTGTGACAAGTGCAGTTATGCAGGCAGCAGCAAGGCCAGCTTTGATGCTCACATGAGGAAAGTCCACGAAATAGATGTCACCTACTCCTGCTTCCTCTGCTCATTCACATGTAAATGGAGCAGAGAATACTATGCTCATGTTCGGAATCACTTCCCTGGACCTCCATATCACTGCCAAGCCTGTATGTTGCCCAAAAAATATACAGGGTGGTCCATTTAACTGACACATTTGTTTTTTTAATAAAACGGGACTGAAATAAGTTATACAAAGTTTATTACTGGAAAATGAAGTACAAACTGGATATTCTTAAACCAATTATCATAGTTCTATTTTTTTTATATTACACTCCTTAAATGTTGCCCTTTGCAATTTATGCATTCTCTGCATTGAACTAACATGTTGTTCATAACAGTCCTGAGTATTTTTTCATCAATTGCAGTGATAGCCTCAGTACTTCTGTGTTTAAATTCATCTTTATTCCTGGGATGTATCTTGTAAACATTGTCCTTTAACATCCCCCTAAGAAAGAAGTCAGGCTGGGACAGATCAAGGGATCTGGGGGACCTCTTCGCAGTGCTGAGCTGAGAAATTATTTCCCAAAACTCTTGCTGTAAAACACAAATAACAATTCTGGCAGTGTGGCAAGTTGCCCCATCTTGTTGGAACCATATGTTTTTGAATTTTTGAATTGCAACATTGAAGAATGAGAAACATATGGTGGGGACGATGGGACAACTTGCCACACTGTCAGAATTGTTATGGTGTTATACAGCAAGAGTTTTGGGAAATAATAATTTCTCAGCTCAGCACTGCGAAGAGGTCCCCCAGATCCCTTGATCTGTCCCTGCCTGACTTCTTTCTTAGGGGGATGTTAAAGGCCAATGTTTACAAGACACATCCCAGGAATAGAGATGAATTTAAAGGCAAAATTACTGAGACTATCGCTGCAATTGATGAAAAAACACTCAGGACTGTTATGAACAACATGTTAGTTCAATGCAGCAATTGTAAAGAATAATATTTAAGGAGTGTAATATTATTTTTTTAAATAGAACTGTGATAATTAGTTTAAGAATTTCTTGTTTGTATTTCATTTTCCTATGATAAACTTTTGTAAAACTTATTTCAGTCCCATTTTATTGCAAAAACAAATGTGTCAGAGTTGAATGGACCACCCTGTATATAGAGGAATCCTATCTGAAAAATATTTGTTCATGGCTCTTGCTCTTTGGATCAGGTCGGTACTCGACAGAGCGAATCCAATACTTCATAGCACACAGGATGAAGCACACTGATGAACGTCCCTATAGCTGTCCAAACTGTGCTTATCGATCTCGGAGCAAGTTCAACTTGGAATGCCACATGAGGAGCCACATGGGTGTCCGACCATACAAATGTATGATCATCCCATTTCTTTTGCTTGAGTATTGTCCCAATTATCATTCATTAAGTTCTCATTGAAATATTTAAAAAATTGAATAGTAGAAAACTACAGGGTGTTAGAAAAGTCACTGTGCAGTAGAATTCATGACATGACGTAGGAGGCCTCACTGTAACTAGGAATTACAGACAATAAATTATGTGAATTGGGGATGGTGCTAATATTTGATGAAGTATTGAGTGGAAATTCATGTCTTTGATGATGCAATGCATGTGATACACAGTATAATACTAAATACATGCAACAAAATAAATTAATTCTACTGAACAGTGACTTTTCAAACACCCTGTATAAACATTCTTTTTTTAAATCTGTGGGGTAGGAGCTTGCATTTCTCCAGTGTTGGCAATGGAGGAATTTTTGCAGCCAGTTGTTCTGGCCTGCTTGATTTATTTGTTTCTTGCTATGAAGTTACTTAGATCCATTGTTGCAGGTGATATATGTGGAGATGCTTTTGCCATGAAATCTACCCTCCAGCAGCACTATGCAAAGCACAGTAACCTCCGTCCGTTCCTTTGTGATATCTGTGGCTTCTCTGCCAAGTATCGCAACCACCTCGTCCAGCACAAGAAAACCCACACAGGTCTGTACTTTTGATCTCTTCATGAGAAAGACCAAGAGACCACAGAATGAAATTTTCAACTATTCCTATTTCAGGAGAGGTGTTCAAGTGCCAATTTGAGAACTGTCATTATTCAACACCACGTCGTGCCTTATTTATCTGCCACATGAGACAACATCTGGCCATCCGTTCATTCACATGCTCCACATGTGCCAGAGCCTTCGTGACAAAGGCACATCTTGTGAGACATGAGAAGACCCATCGCAAGGATCGTCCCTACACCTGTTCTCACTGTGACTTTGCCTCAGCACGTCTGGACAAGCTGAGGGATCATGTTTCTCGCCACCATGGTGAAAAACCAACAGCTCGCACCCCCTACAAATCTCGGAAGTCCCGAAAATCTAGGCCCCCCAAGATATCAACACCTGTAGAATACGAAACAAGAGGACCTGAGACGTATGAAGTCCCCATTGAAGACATCACTGTCATGGAAGATAGCCAACATCAGCACCATGATGAACACCAGCAGGAATTGAATTTGGAGCCACACTCACCATCAACTCCTCCAGAGAATTTGAGTTTGGCTCGACCCTCATCACGGGCAGAATATGATCACCGAGATGCAAACATTCTGAACTATGGCCCTTTGGATCCTCCTGGTCATATAACTGCAGTTGCAGAAAATCCTCCTCAACAAAGTGCACATGACTTCTCTGGTCTCAATGCTCTCATGTATCTCCTATGACTCATTCCCATATTCCTTATGTAAGAGTTCCACCACCTTGTATCCTTGATTCTCAAGAGCACAAGAGAACATAGCTTGCGAACTTGAGAACATAGAGAGCATGCATTTTGAAAAGCAAAAGCAACACATTAGTTTGTTGCTTGTACCAGTGAATCAGAACTTCATGTTCATGCATGGTACTTAATAAAAACCCCTAATCATTGGGTTAGTCTGACCACCAACTCTTCAGGCATGGTTGCCAGATCCATTATGCATTCAAAAACTATGCAAATATGCCTTCGTGATAAATCTATGCTAGTGTGCAGTGAACCTGAAGAATGCAATAAGTCTTGGAAGAAGAGATTTACTACAAATGTGAGAAACTGAGAGTCCCTTCAGCTGGACAGAACTGTCACATAAGAGTCTTTTGAGGGAAGAACAAGGAGATAGGGAGGAAAAAATGTGAATGATGGCCTATAAGGGTTATTCTCATCCAGGGTATTTTGAGTATGGGAACAGCCCTGTGTGACAGATGCAGAAACTGAGATTCAATGAGAGAATATTCTGAATCCCATAACCCAATATGATTGCTTGACTATAGTGACTACAATACATGCACTATTCATGCCCTATCTCCTATGAGTCAGCTTGATTGGAGCAACTGCTGTCGTGTTGCTCTGAGCTGAGTGCGACATCTATATGCATACATTGTAGTACATAAAATGCCGTCAATTTAAGAACATTTTTGACTGGGTATGGAATGCATCATGAAAAAAAGACCTGACATCAAATGAGTTATGAAACCAGATATTTCCCTGCAAGTGTATTTGCAGGAAGGAATGTGAAAGGTGACTAGGTGAGCCGCATTTCTCCTGTTCAAAAGTTATTATTATACAAGTATGTTGTTAAAGAAACCAAAGTTTTTGTGTCAATCCTTTCAGGCTATTTGCTGTCACTGGTGTCCTGTCCAATCATCAAGAAAATGAACGGAGACCCAGAAGACTGGAAGATTTATATTAAACACCCTGAAAAGCTTGTCTTCCAAATAAAGTGCACAAATTAGCAAATTTCTCACTCGTGGTCTTTATGCCATTGCATGGACGTCATGTAGTTGTACAAAGTTCCATCTAAAAGCTGACAATTGATAGAGAAGACTGCATAAACATGTGCGACTTGAGCAGCGTATTTTGGGATATCTCTTCATAATGTCACTGTACATAGAGGTAAATGTTAAAAGACATGCTAGTATTCCCAAGCTTTGTTTCAATAGTGCAGCAATTACATCCAGCGAAATGCAAGACTCATTCTGCAACCTCGTGCCTTCTAGGATTTCTCTGTCCTACTGCAATATTTGTTTGTTTATCAAAGGGTTTATTGAGTGCCCAACTAAAAGGTGGTAATAAAACCGCGCCTGTAAATCCCATGGTAGAATCATATGGAGAAAAAGTCAAAGGTCCAAATAGTTTTAATTCTGGTAGTACTTTGACGAAAGAGGACATGCCGTCACTACAACGTTACGTCATATGCTGCAGTAAATTTTTTTCCCGAAAGTGCAGAACCATTGAGAATGACAGTTGCAGATTCTAAGCCTCTGGTTCCAACGTGGAGCTTCCATTATGCATCTGAAGCTACCATTAACCTTCTTCAGGATGTTTAAACACAGTGCCACCTCCATTCTTGGTCCTCGAAGAATAACCCCCAGACTCACTTGATATGTGTTCCGGATTACGTTCTCGGGGGAATTTCTTGAGCAGATTTACAACCCCCGGCCTCGGGATCTCCAGCAGTGGAAGCAAAACACCCAGAACGAAATCATAAATTTCCCACAAGCATTAATTACTCCAGAATGTGATTGAAAGCATCAGTCGCAGAGCACGATAGTCCAAACGGCGCATCATCGTCGCATCCCATTTCAGAGATTATTTAACGCATTTAATTCCTGATTCACATTTGCTCCCATGTTTCATGTGACGCAGTTATCTGCCGAGTCCCTCCTTAAATGTATGCTTCTTTTGGGTTGAGTCTAGTTCCCAGTCTTTCCACATGGAACGGTAAATTCTCCTCGTCATTGGAGTCGAATTGGGACGGTGACATGGGCTAATGACCAGTCTGTACTCAGTACTCATTACTCATCAACTATACACTATCGTTCCTGCACCGCTCTGCCGACTCACAAAGAGTCATTACGTTAATTAAGGCTCACTACGTTAATTACACCTTGGCCCCACGATCGTGATGCGCCGTCGTGTCATAAGAGTCAGCGTGCAGAAATGATCCCAATTAAGAATGTCGACATTGGCGACCTAAAGAATGAGTTTTAAAGAATCTTATATTTTTTATATGCTAATTTACATCGCCGCATCATACAATCATTCGTGAAATAGTCTCGTTAGCCTCACACGGATTCCTGTACAGATAAAACATGGACTTCCTGTGGTTTGAACCAAGGATTCGTGGGTACCGATACTGTTCATCTTGGTGTTGATCTCAGAAATTAGCGTATTTATGCATCCACAAGTACAAACGGTCTTTTACTTGGATTCTAGCTCTACTATTCTAAAACAATTCTATTAATTATAATATCACTGCAAAACTGTTTTAAGTATTTATTTTTTAATTATTTATTAATTTGAAAAAATATCTTCATCTCGCACTAATGAAGTTTTCCCGTCTCGAGCTGACTCATCTCTTCGGTGGACCTGCGAAAATGAATCAGCAGATGTGTCACGGACGACCGTGCAGATTCTGTGAATGCCGAATGGATCGGCTCACGAGTGCCAAAAGCGCCCTGTCATTCGGCGAGGTCCCTTGACCCCAAAAAAATTCTTTCGCAAGTCGTTTTTGCATTATCTGATCGAGAGAGCAAAATCTGCCGGCCGGGCGACGTCCGCGAGTCCGTGGGAAATGGGACAAAAAAAGCAAAAAAAAATGGCGATTGGTATCGTTGGTACTACAATTCCACACCGGGACACCGGGACAGAGCCATGGTACGGGCATTTCGAGATGCCTGTCCCATGTTGATAACCTCTCTTTTGATAACTGTTTCACGAATCTCCTCGCTGAAAGCGTGAAATTGAATGAATCGAATGGCTCTGCTCGATCCATGCTCGATTTCCATCCGCTTCCCCATTTTTCTTTCGACGCAGCGGATTGGAGACATTTTCTCTCGGGAAATTGGACATTACGATTTCATGATGCGCTCGTGAAATCTGTGAGATGATATCTCCGGGAGAATCCTCGCAAATTTGCATTATTAACGGGAAATAAGTGCTTTTTTTTTGGTTTCGAGGAAAGTAAGAACGAAAGAACCCTGCTTCTTTGCCCCTCGAGTGCATTTCTTCAGGTTTCCACTGCTCCTCTTCGATGATACGGGAACTTGAAGCTTCGTTTCAGTTTTTGCATTCCCGTCGGACCGCGATCACGTGCGATTTCGCAAGTGCCATATCGCTCGCATGCGACCGATGGAATTTAATGAAACTTTTAGGCAAGCCCGTGCTCGCCGAGTCGCTTCACCGAGGCCTATTCCATATTCCAAGCCACGAATGCTTCGTGCGTTAAAAAAATTTCTGGGTCAATGCACTTCCAGTTGAAACACAATATTCTTTCTAATCGCTAATTTTTTTTTTTTTACAGATCTAGACCGATAAGGTTTCATCAAATTTTTTGCGATGTGACTGAGGGTCTCCACTGATCTATATGAGGAATTTCATCGCCGACGTCGTCTCGTTTTTCGACGCGCTTCCACGATCGCCTTTCGCCTCACGATTGAAAAAATGCGCAAAATCTGGCCATCCTCATGGAATCCGACGAAACCTTGCCATCGCCTTTCAAGAAGCCTGAAATCCCCTGAAACCCTTTCGAACGCCCCGAGCTACGCCGCCGCACAGACGAAAGTGAACCTCCTCCAAGGTCCCAGTTTTTCCCTGTGGACCTTATCGGGAAGATGAACACCATGAAACCAAAGAGTAATGTTGTTGTTGCCGATATAAGTACTCATTCTTCAATATTATCAGACAGGGGGAAGAAGAAGGGGCCGAGAAGCAGCATGCCTCGGCGGACAGAGCTCTGGGCGTTGGGTGCGAGGTGCTTTGCGTGTCGGGCGTATGGTTTCCTGTGCGAACGTCAATGAAAATTAGTTGTAGGACGCAAACTTGAAGTTGTCCAACTTATCACAGCTTGGTTGATTTTGTGCTTTGTGTGATTATGGAGGAAACATTCATTTTCCGTTTCAGAATATAACCAGTTTTCATGAGTTATTCTCAAAAGTTTCATAATGAAGGCTGAGAGTTTATTTCCATTATATGTAGATGGATTTAGAGTGCCCTTGGACGTCTTTCAGGGTGAAGGAGCTCATCCTTGAGGCGCAAACATGGGCTCACAT